AAGGAGTAGCTTCTATGGGGACAGAATTTTATATTAATGCTTTTCATTCTTTCACCCCAAAGGCCAAACAACAAAACATTACCATACCTAAAATACACACCACAATACAAATCAGAATGTGGCAGATAACGATTGAAAGAAGCTGATTTAATTGTATTTGACCACACATCACAAAGATGTTTAGGAATGGAGCAAGTATTCTTTGCATTGCTTCAAAGCAGACAGGATGGGTTCAGGCTGTCTTTTCTCATAATGTTCTCTAAGCCATCATACCAGCACTACAATGCATAAATACACCAAAAACTTGCCTTGCAGGAGGAGAACTATTTAGGTTCAGTTTGATCCATGATATTCATCTCTCCTGCCAATTTTTAAGTTTCCACATATATTTTATATCCTCATTTTATATTGTTTATTGCACAATTATATACAGCACATGCATTTCTATAATGTGATAAATTCCACAAAGCAGTCAACTGTCTCACACACAAACTCTCTGACATTTCTTCCTGTCCTTGCCAGATTTAAAACTGTCATGCATTTAGGCCAATTTCCAAACCTCCAAAGTCTGGGTGGCTTTTTCCTTCCCCAAACTCCCCCTGCTTCCCAAACATTTTTCAAAGTTTAAACTGCTTGCACAGTACAAAACTTAATCATATAACTCTCTTTTTTTCATTTGTAATTATGCACAAACCCGAAAAAAAGAAAAAAACAGTTACACGTTTGATACTGTGCTAATTCAGGGTCAAAATATACTATTTATGATTCACTGTTACTGGCTAGCACAATTTGTGCACATAATAAATCCCTACATTCTTCACAAGAAGCTCTTGGTCATAATCTCTGATTGGACCAATGCTCTAATGCAGTTTCTTAAAGAAGAAAGAACTAGTCCTATATTGATAGGACAGTGAAAGTCTACTGTACTAAAGACAATCTGAACTAATTTCTGAGTTCCCTCTACCTCTGCCCTTGCTTTCTTCCCTGTGATAGATACAAGGAATAGGAAACTAGCAGACTCCCTAGGTTTCTGTGATGCAAGGAAAAAGATGCATATTCTTGTAATACTGATCCAGTACTTCTGTCTCTAACAACACTGACAGAACTTGGAGTTAGAATGGGGAGATGGACACATGGCCAGCAGGTCTACCATCTTGCACAGAAGAACCTTGCCAGTCATTGGCTACTATGTAATGGATATATAGCCAAGTCACAGATAAGGTTGGAAGTAGCAGTGGCAACTGTTTGCATGATTGCATGGTGCTCCACTCCTTGGCTCTGTATTGTATTCGGGAACAGGAGGGAGGTTCCTACCCTTGCAACTTTTGAGTGGGCCTGTTGTGGAAAGGCCATTTGCTTTGCAGAGGGATAAGAATGTTGCTCCCATTCCAGACACAGAGCAATCCACTGTTAAGGTTATCCAAGGACAGAATGTAAACATACAGTTTTCCCACTGATTACATGGCTGTCTCATGAATCTCTGCTCTTATTCCAAATAAGCACTCGACACATCAGCCTACCAATTGCAGACATCAGGAGACTCAAGCATTTTGGAGTCATGCTCATATTCAGTATTCTATTCAGGTCCTGTGATGCAAAGGCTTATGTTATCTCATGTCATTGCTAAGCAGCATCGTACCTTACAATGTCACACCTAGGAAGCAATTTTAGAGAGTGCTTTTCCTGATTTGCTTTATTAAATATTTGAGTTTCATCCATACATAAAAGACAGCATAAGAGAAAATGTATGTAGGATGGAAAATTATATTACACCCTTGTGTTACAATACACAAAAGTACTGGAGATGGCTTTAAGCCATAAAACATTGGGTCTTGAGTTTTTCTGCCTATGTCAGGTATCTGTTGATATTAAACACATATACTCTATTTAACAGGGCTGTGATAATTTGAGTAAATATAAATAATACAGTATGGGAATGCCTACTCATTGCACATAGGATTTTTATTTGCATTTCTCACAGTGGTAAGGTAAGGCTTAACAGAAATTTTAAATCAGGGGTGGCCAAACCTGTGGCACGCATGTCACAAGTGGCATGGGTTACTTCCATCTGTGGCATGGGGAAAATTTGGGAGGGGGCAGGCAGCACAATGGCAAATAGAGTAGTGAACAGAAAACAGCAATGGATTGGGCAAGAAACACAGGGCAAGGAGCAGAAAGCAGAGAAAAACAGATTGGGCACAGAGTATAGGGCAGGGAGTAAAAAACAGAGCAGCACAGCAGGCAAGGGAAGGGGATCATAGTGGCACTTGGGGAGGGCATGGGACTTAATTTGTGGCATGCCTGCCAAAAAAGTTGTCCCCTACTGGTTTAAATGACTTGCCCAAGGTCCCATAACTTAGTTGTAAGGATAAAAGCATGGTCACTTGACTCTCAGTCATCTGTCCTGTGCATGGAACATGCTGCTTCTCACATCTATTGATTTTCACATCTGAGCAATTTATCCAACCTTTTTCTGGAAGGGAATCTTATTTCAGAAACTGCCTTTTAGTAGGCTCTGTAATTGGAAGGATACCCTTAGCAGAGCTATCATTATTGCTTTGTAACTCAGTATATTATTTTGGGAATCTGTGATGATATTATGGTGTTTTGAAACTGAAGCTTGAGGGTGCCAAACCTGGTGAATTAGCTGCAGTCCAGTATATGGGTGTGAAAGAGATTACCACTCAAGTAGAGAGAGTGCATGGGGATTTTACTTTTCAGTCGATGGCAATGTACAATACACTTAGGTAAAATTGTGCAGCAAACTTTCTGCCCTCTATGAGGGCGTCCAGATGAGCCCACACATGCCTCTTGGAGCATCTCAAACCCCTTTGAGATGCTGCAAGAGGCATATGCGGGAATAGGAAAAGGTTTTCCATGCTGCAAATTTGCAACGTGTGGGCAAAATTAGACCCCTGGATATCCAGGGATCAAAAAAAATGGAGTGAAAAAAAGCAGGGCAGGGCACGGTCCTGGACTGTGCCTTGAGGCAACTGGAGGCTGGGTCCTCCACGGAGATCCTCTGGTAGCAGCCAGAGCATCTCTACGGTTGCCCCTCACCCTGGTGCTGAAGCATGCTGCCTGCCCATACAGGGCAGGCAGCATGC